TCAATCTATAGTTAGGAAGGATATCAGTGCTGTTGTTTATCTCTTTAATGGCTACTCTAGCTCCTGCCAATAGATCAGGGCCAGCATCCCAGTCAGCATGAGGCCGGTCATCAGGCCACGGGACAAGAGCTAGCAGATTGATGATGCCTTTCTTTTCTTCCTTCCTAGCAGCCAACGGAGGAAGTAGTAACAAGATTATAGTGAAACAAAACAATAGCAATATCTTTCCTGTAGACATTATTGGATTAGAACACGTGCAGGCCTCTTCTTTATAATAAAGAAAACACTGATAGATCGGAAAAGAAAGCAGCTACAGAGATGAAGTAGGTTGTTTGAGCTGAGAAATTATCGTCACATGACGTAATTAGTACAAGCGCTATCTAGCGTTAATAGGCTACTAATTGCTGCTAAGATAACACAATTCACTCAAGAAATGATTATCAACTTAATATTAATTGATTGATTAAAAGTTAGCAACAATTATCAATATTCCTTAGCTACACCAAAAAAGGAATTCCTAACAAATAGACAAGTTGGGTACACTTACGCTCTGCAAAGCAAAAATGCTTTTGTGCCTTTATGACAATTGGAGCTAAAACCATTTATTGACCAGCAGGAATGCACTTTTATGCAGCAGATAAACCAACTATTGCTTTTTGTAGCAAAAGGTTTGGTTATTTCGTTGAAACATAAATCAAACATTAGTTTAGTTAGTTTAAGATGTACTTTATGAAGTTAATTCATATTTTATTATTATGAAAATTTAGGGAGAAAGATATGAAAATGTGCTTAACGTGTATAAATGAATAATAATAATAATAATAATAATAACAATAATAATATATAAATAATAATAATATATAAATAATAATAAATTTGAATAATAATGAAGCATGGCAGTAGAAATAAATAACATAATATGAGTCTATACAAATTAATGTCAATAAAATAATAATAATAATAATAATAATGAGTATAATTTTGGAAAAAATAATATAATATATATTTATATATATTTATAATAATATATGATTCCTCTCTATTCCGGAGTATTCTTAACCCCAACATTACTTTCACCATTTCCTGTCTTACCCTCGCCCCCTCCATTAGCTAGGAATGACTCTATACCATCAGGTACAGTCTCGTTGTCCTCCTCCAGCTGCTCTTCAGACCCGAGATAATCTGGCTCACCTACTCGAGGGGTAAGAGGAATAGTATCAGGAGAGAATTGAAGGAGTTCGCTTATAGATACCTAGGGGGGAGAGGGAGAGAAGGAGAGGGGGGGTGGTATTTCTTATGATGTGAATGTTTAAAAAGTTGTTGTTGTTACAATTGGTACTCCATATTTGGTAGGATCGACCCATGGTCTGTGCTCTGGCCTGTTTCTTTTTTTCCATTCCGGGTACTTCTCAGCTGCTTGAGCAATCTTTAAAAATATCTAAAATAATAATAATAATAATAATAATAATAATAATAGTAATAATAATAATAATAATAATAATAATAATAATAGTAATAATAATAATAATAATAATAATAATAATAATAATAATAATCTTTGCTTCTTACTCGTGGTGCTATCTTGGATGCTACAATATTCAGTAACCATTTAGGGATTTTACCTACATGAATAGCAACACAGTCATGCATCAATAAAATAATAATAATAATTAATTGTTGGTTATGCTTCCATTGACTGGAAGTGCTTACAGTAAACCTTTTGATCAAACTAATCAAAAGGACAC